ACCTGCGAGAGTATTGGTATCTTTCTCTCTGTCCCTCTCCCCCCCGTCTCACTCTCTCTCACTCTTTCTCTTTCATTCTTCCTTGCCACAGTTTATACCTGTTCCTCTGATTCCAGCAGTCTCCTTTCTCTTGCATATACACCTATCCTTATTTCCATCTCACTCTCTTATTCTCTTTCTCTTTCTCTTTTCCAAGCGGAATCGCCGATTTTATGGGCCACCTTCGACGTTTAATGAAGGAACTTTACGAGGCGGGATTTTGTTTTAAAGAGTATACCGGCCTCGTCGATAATTTTCATCTCTAACGACGAGAGGCACCCTTTTTCTTTTTTTTTCCCCTTTTTGCTTTGTTCTTTTTTTTTTCTTTTTTCTTTTTTCCTTTCTCTTCGCGGACACTCCGATCTTTTTGAGAGAAAGAAAGATAGAGATAGATAGAGAGAAACAGAGGAGGATAGAGAAAAATAATATCCTTCGATAAAGGTCCTTCCCGGTCAAGGTCGAGAATATTAACACAATCTTCTTCTCTCATCCATGGACGTTCGTCGTTAGCCCTTGTAATTCGAATCTTTTACGATGAGAGTTTGATAGTACCTTTAATCATTTTAATCGTCCATCATATATTTAAAATTAATTCTAATAGACTAATTAAATTCTTGCAATCGATGAATTATAACTCATACAAAGAAACGAACGTTTTAACCATTTAATGTCAATCTACTGAAGAACAGGGGATATTTATTTATTACGAGATCAATCAGTGCGTATTCAATGGAAAATTGGGAATTAGCGTGGAGGCACTCCAATTAGCCGATCGGCAATTACCTTTGGATTCAATGAGAATCAAGAGAGAGAGAGAGAGAGAGAGAGAGAGAGGAAGAGAGAATTTCTTCCACATCGTTAGAGGTATACCAACACCCTTTGCCTTTCTCTTCTAATGGTATGGCGTCGAGAATTTCGTCCGAGGGGAGAGGAGGATTGGTAGTTGGTGGTAGAGCGAGTGAGGAGGAGGAAGAGGAGGAGGAGGAGGGAGGTGTGGGTAGAGGGAGGCTTTGATAGTTTTCCAATTAATACTTTTGCGACGATTTAATTAAAGTTCGATTAATCAAGCGACGGGAGAGTAACGTACGACAGATGGAGAGAGAGAGAGTGAGTGAGAGAGAGAGAGAAAGAGAGAGAGAGAGAGAGAACTCGACTTCGATCGGTGTTGAGTGACGTAAGTTGCCACGGAATGAAATTTTAATCCGTCCCGTATTAGTCATGGATTTACGTTTGTTACGAATACCAAAGCTTCTCTATAAGTTCTCTAGCTGGAACCTTTTCTGAATCAGGTTCAGATGAAGTCGGAGAAAGAGAAAGAGAAAGAGGAGGAAAAAGGAAGAGTGGGGGAAGAGAGAGAGAGAGAGAGAGAAAGAGAGAAAGAGAGAAAGAGAGAAAAAGAAAAGGCGAAATGAAAAGGGATATATCCCACCCGCTGACGCCACCCGGAGTATCGAACGGACAAACAAATTGTCTTGTTTTAAAGGCAGCAAGAACAAAAACCGAACAACCTGCACACGAGGGCAGCAGCAGCATCAGCATCGGCTATATTGGCTCGATGATATTTGCCGGTGCCATGGAAGTTGTTAATTCTGTTCATGGTGCTCTGCTGCTGCCGTTGCTTTTGCTTTTGCTTTTACTTTTACTTTTGCCGTTGCTATTGCTTATTGCTGTTGCTGCCGTAGCTGCAGTTGCTGATATTTAATACAAGATTCTCCCGCTGCATATTCATCGTATCGCCGTGGAATCCGCAGGGGCGAGGTGAATCGTGTTCCTTGGCTAACTTACACGGTGTCCGTGCTCGTAAATATATTCTTGCATCGATATTTTAGCGCCGAAGCAATACCGGAGGAACGAACATGGTTATTCACCAATTGGAAGAGTTCGCTACCGATAGATAACCAATAGGATTTGTTTTTATTTTTAAACCGGTTATTTTTATTCCAATTAAATTACACACACACACACACACACAAATATATATATATATATATATATATATATATATATATATATATATATATTAGAAGGATATAGAAAATTCGGTGTATATAAGGTCTCGTTTGAAAGTGATAGACAGAGATCTGCGTTTAAAACGTATCGTAGATACGTCCTCGCGATGTCTGGCTTGTCGGAACCGGTCGAACTTGAAGCAGGCACGGCCCCTATTTAGCAGCTGTCCACGAGTAAGTGCCCTCTTAACTTTGTGCACGATAATACTAGGGATGTGGCGGGCAAGGGAGAAGGATAAGAGGTAGTAAGAGAAGGAATAAGGAGTAGGAGTAGGGAGAAGAAGGGGGCATCATCGCTTCATACCTCTTTCAAAGGTGAATTCCGTCCCACCTTTTCTTAACGGAGAAAGATGGAAAGTGAGGGAGAACGCGCGAGGGCAAGACAAAATGAGTGAGAGAGCGCTGGTGTGTTAGGTCGGACGTAGGTGAACCGGAGGTGGTGATAACCCGACTCGATCCATCACTGCCCTGGACGCTGCTCGAAAGGGGTCGAAGAGGTAGTCGAAGGTGGTTTAAGGAGCTTTAAAGGTGCTTCCAGCCGTTATTTTAAGTACGTATACCATGTATATACTACACCCTTCAAGTACGAGGAGTGTGCGTGAATTCTCTCCTTCCTCCTCTTTTTTCTCTCTCTCTCTCTCTCTCTCTCTCTCTCTCTCTCTCTTTCTCTTACTTTTTCTCTCTCTCTCTCTCTCTTACGTCTCTCACCTTGGTACCGGTATAGCCGCTTGCTTTCGCGAGATATATCGCGGCAATCGATACTCGTGGCGCACGGCCTCGACCCCAACTCGAAACCAATTTACGATCGACGACAATAGTGTTTATAGCACGACATAATGTCCCTTAAGCTCCGCGTAGATCGCTCGTTTCGCCTTTCTCGAAATCGATGTAGAATGGATGGTAGATTTGTGCATGAGAAAAAGAGAGAGAGAGAGAGAGAGAGAGAGAGAGAGGGAATTAAGAAATATTGCATTTGTAAAAGGGAAAAGATTTGGAGAAGAAAGAAATCAGTAGCTGATCGATAATTAAAGAAATTGAAGTAATGTCGTAAAAGGAGAAAAATTTTGTAATAATTAATTAATAATATAATTTTCTAAGATCTAACGTAAATACGTTATTTTATTAGTTCACGGCAAAAGGATATGGATTTTTTTTTTAAGTTAAAATCCATATCGAGTTTCACGTTAAACTCATAAGATCCATAGAAATTAATTTTCTTTTTCGTTCTTTTTTTTTTTTTTTCTTTCTTTCCTCCTCCCATTCCTTAATTCCAAACGATCATTCATTATTTTGCTCCTATAAACACTACAATTATTGTTGTTGGAAATTAAATGAGAACGTAGACGTCAATGAATATTCAATGGAAACTATTTAATGCAAGTTGTATTTGTTTGTTTTGTTTGCTACACTATGCGTAAAAATAGAAGCGAAGAGCGAAATCCATTAGATATTCATAAAATCGTCCAACGGGCACAAAATCGTGTACAAGTTTATTGGCAAGTGTAAGAAAGGTCCGCCGCGTGACTCATTCGTGCATCGATCTTACAGCTGAAGGAAAAACGAGGCAAGAAAAGGCGAAGAAGCACGGGGCATGGCAAATGATACGCGAAGCCGCTTGAGTTACAACCAAGAGACGGTTGTAAAATGTCTCGATGGTACGGTGTAAAGTTGTAGGGAAGAAGTCGAATGAGAAAAAGAGAAAGAAAGAGAGAGAGAGAGAGAGAGAGAGAAAGAGAAAAATGAGAGAAAGAGAATCCAACCCTCGATTGAAGTAATATCGCAAGACCACGCGAGTTTTAATATCGAAGGGTGTTTTCTCACCTTCGGCATAATATTACGCGTTGGATTTAAAATTTAAAGGTCATCCAGTTGAAAGAGTGTGAGGACCACCTATATCCTATATGCTAATGGTGTAATATTCTACAACAGTCCCGTGTCGATAATTCAGACGGTATCCTCCATAAGGAGGGAACGAATGAACGAACGAACGAACGATGATCTTTTTTGCCATACGTTCTCCTTCACTTGATATATTTTCTCTAGAATATCTCGTGTATAATTTTTCATTATTAATTTAAATTCGCAATAAATCAGAATTTATACGAGGATCAAGTAGAGTAAGACGAGAACTCGCGATAAATGGTTTATAGAGGAGAGGGATCATTAAGGAGACGTGGGTGGATACGACCTATAAGAAAAATCGACATTGTTGGTGCCTTTGGTCTCTCACCACTGGTCAACCCTTATATTTTTCCTTTCTTCTGTTCTCCCTCTTCATCCTCGAGCCCCGCCCTCTTCACTCTAGATCGCGTGCCATGCAACTTGCTAATCTCGAATGAAGTTTATGCCCCGCAATCGTATATACCACGACATCTTACACACCTATTAATAGCGGATTCGAGCAACTCGTACAAACACAGTGTGAAAGAAACAAAAAAAAAAGAAAGAAAGAAAAAGCACAGAGAAAAAGAGGGAGAGCGAGAGAGAGAGAGAGAGAGAGAGAGAGAGAGAGAGAGAGAGAGAGACAGAGAGAAGGAAAAAAAGAAAGAAATAAATAAAGAAAAAGAGAGAGCCTATAAAAGCAAATCGAGATACTCACGAAGGAAAGAGGGAAAAACATATGTATAGTACACGAGTACGACCGTGAAAGAAGAATACGCGTAAATAAATCGTCGGGCTTTGAGTAACGCGATTCAAATTGACCATCAACGCCTATTTCAGTGTCATTTCGTCTGGCATGCGTGTTCTCTTGATTTCTATTCTCTTTCGCACATCTTCAATCTCTTTTTTTTTTTTTTTAGGCGTATATATTTTAGAGACGAGAAAAAAAATTCTATCATCGGGACGCAATTGTAATTCGTAATAAAGTAGTTCGATATCCTTCTCTCTTCTTCATCATCATTTTGACGTTTCCCCACTGCCACACCCTTCCTCCCTATACCCTCTTACCACCACGTCGATATCATTGCCATTCAGCACCACTATAGCCCTCTTTCTTCGGACGAAGAATAGTTTGCAGAATCCATTAACCTTGAACAAAAATATCGTAGAGCATAAATGAAACAGTTAGATACTTTCGCGGGCTAATAAATTTGTCACCATATAGAAGACGAACGGGTGGGATCGTTAAAGAGGGGAGATAGGAAAAGAAAGAACTAGAGAGATTGATAGAGATAAAGAAAGAGAAGAACGAAAAGAAGGAAAGGAAGGAGGTTGGTCGGTAGATAGGTAGGTAGATAGTTTATTTTGTTCTACGGCATTACGGTTAGCGTTATGTGGTATCCAACGATTGATTTACATCGAGCAAGCAAGGGGAATCTATTTATGGCACTTATTTGTATGCCGAGAGAAGGATAATTAAAAATCTGCTTGCTTTCGGTTCAAGGGCCCCGTCTTATAATTGATAAAAAGGACGGGTGTAACGAGAGAATAAGAGGGAAAGGTTATCCAAGATGCGAGCCAATTAGACGAGTGAACTAAGGAAAAACGATTGGAAAGCTTGCTGAACTCGGTAGTTCCTTTTCATTGGAAAAAAAAATAGAATATCGTTTCCAACGAAGATCCATCCCATCCCCTTTTTTTGTACGCCAACGTGTTTTTTCCTCTCTCTCTCTCTCTCTCTCTCTCTCTCTCCCTCTGTATTTTCCTTTTTTTTTTTTTTTACCGTAGAATCTCTCGCACGCAGGGAAACATGATTTTGATTTCGTCCGAAAGAGAAACGTCAAAGTTTCAAAGTAACATTGTAAAGGGTGGTCGTGGGTAGAGTCAACAATAGTACAAAACGAATACGACGAATAACGTCAAGTGGAATTTGTTCTTTTCCTTTTCTCTTTCCTCCTTCCCTTTTTCCCTACATTTTCTTTTCTATATCATTCTTTCTTTCTTTCCTTCTTTTCCCCTTCTCTTTCTCTCTCAGTCTTTCTCTTTTTTTTTCTTCCTTTTCATACAGAACTGACAAAGGAGAAAAGACGTCATATGCACGATTCTGAATGGAGAAAGACGTGGAACGGAAAGAGGAGAGGCAGAAGATCTTTGACTCGCGTCCCCTCCCTGAATAACCATGAAGAGAAAGAGAAAGAGAGAGAGAGAGAGAGAGAGAGAGAAAGAGACTGCATGCAAGCGAAAGAGAAAGATAGAGAGATGTAGTGATAGATAGAAAGAGAGTAAGAGAGAAAGAGAGAGAGAGAGAGAGAGAGAGAGAAAAAGACAGACAGAGGTGAGCGCCCAGAAGGGAAGGAAATTAGAATTGAATAGTTGATGAATTTTAGGAGCGGCAGCCTTCTAAAATTCATCAACTATTCAATTCTAACCCGCCCTATCCATACAGTCTGTACACGGGCAATACATGGTCGCATGCCCTTGAAGCCACGAAGTCGCCTTAGAATTTAAATAATCGATCCCCATTCGTGGTTACGCTTTTCGAGTTCTATCAACGTTTCACATGAAACACTTCGACGAACATTTCTTACTCATCCTCTTTATTATTTTATAGAAATCCTTTTGTATAAGAAATTTATACGTATTACATGATCACTAAAGTGAATTTAATTCACGATTGTATTTGAACACACACAAAGAAACAGAGAGAGAGAGAGAGAGAGAGAGAGAGAGAAAGAGAGAGAGAGAGAGATAAAAAAAGATTATAGACAAATTCTCTTGGAGAAACCGTAAAGGAATCGTTTATTACAGATGCGTATCATGTCAAGTCAATACTTTGGTCACAGATACGTCCGCATTTGCGAAAGCGAGCCGTAACTAATTAGGGAAGCCGGTGTGGATTCAGCTAAGGTAAATATTATATTCCCCCCCCCTTCCTCAAGATCCTCCCATTACCCTCTTTAATGTCCCATACGATGCTCGACGACATATGCACGCACGAATGCACTTTAAGCAAACCCTCTCGATTTTCCTACCGTACACTACTTTTTAAACTCTCTTTTTTTCTCGCTCTTTTTCGCACTCTATCCATTTATCTATCTGTCAGTCTCTGTTTCGATCTCGATCCCTTGACTGATATGCCAAAGAGTTCATACTGAAACATTTATATTTTCGACTAAATCGCGTTGTTTTTTTTTTTAAGAGAGTGAGAGAGAGATAAAGAGAGAGAGAGAAAGAGAGAAAAAGATGGACCGTTTCGTGGTAACGAGTCAGCGGACGATGTGGTGATATTCACTGGGGTGCGACAAGTTTTCCAACGCAACGATTTTGAGAAAGAAAGAGAGAGAGAAAGAGAGGGAGAGAAGAGGGTCGAATCTTTCTCTCTCTCTCTCTCTCTCTCTCTTTCCAAGAGGAACGAAAGAGGGAGAATGAGGAGACGATAGAAGGCTACGAATCGAAAGGAGAGGGAAATATAGAGAAAGAGGGAAGAAGACAGAGAAAGTGTGTGTGTGAGAGAGAGAGAGAGAAAGAGAGAGAAAGAACGGAGGAGAACAGCGGAGGCATTATCCTTTAATCAAATACATTACGCAGAATTTATCGCGGCCCGTGAATTAATTAAACGCCGAAGGATAAATTCTCGCCACCTCTAAAGCCCGAGTGCCTGCATGAAATTTAACATTCGATAAAATAAATCGCCGGCACTCCCGTATCGTTCGTATTTCCATTCCTCGAACCCTCTCGCTTATACACACTTATATATATATATATATATTATATATATATATGTATATATATATATATATATGCACGCGCATATACACACGCAGACAGACACACAGATCTCTACGTATATACTGTATAATCTACACATAGTTATATATGAAACCACGAGGAAGTTCAACCCCTCTCGTCCGATCGCTTACTCGGTACGACTCGTACTTTCTACGTATATGTATATACATATATATATATATATATATATATATATATATATATATATATATATGTAGTGTACCTCTGCTCTCTGTCCTTTATTGCGAGAGCGACGTAAATCATTACGTTTACTCCCGCGGAAGAATCCATTAAGCTTACGAACAAATCGAATTCAATTCCGTAGGAAAAGCGGGCTCTCTCTCTCTCTCTTTCTGAAAGCACGACCAAGGGTTCTCTCGAAACGTACCTCCCTTTCCTCTTACCTACCTCCTCACTTTCCATCGTCATAACCCATACTTCCACCATACTTCCACCATACTCCACTGCTTTCTTCTGCTTATATTTTAATTTTAGTTGTATACGTATATATACGTCCTTTCTACGAAAATATATTTCGTCGATGATAATCTCTCATTGAGCATAGTTACAGCATTCTTAACTAAATTCTATTTCCTATCTCTCTCTCACTCTCTCCTTCCTTTTCGTTCTTATATATTTTAATTGCGATAGTTTTACAACTTACGTTGGTTATATATCTACCTACGTCATAAAAAGGAAGACCGAATGGCCGATGTTAGCGCGAAGAAAACGTAATGCAAGTGCGAATTTTAGCGTGCGGTAAAAGAAGAGACCGGTCGGACACGAAGGAATGAATATTTAAATCGGTCGCGAAAAAATATACGAGCAATCGAGGTTCGGTCTTATGGTGCGGCCGCACGTGAACTAATGCAGTATTTCTGCGGAAGAGTTCTGCGACGGGACACGTTCTGTGAGAGGAGAGGAAGAGAGAGGGAGGGAGGGAGGAAGGGGAGAGGGTAAGTGGACGGGGGTTGACTCCATTGTCAGTCGGGAAAAGACTTTTGCGTGTGACCGGACCGTTTTGTCGGTCAAGTTTACAATTGCACGCCAGCGTAAAAAAGAAGTTGCAGTTTGTTAAAGGAGAGAGCAATAAGAAGGGGATGGAACGAGGTATGGAAGGGTATGGCAACGTGGCACGTGATTATCAACGCCTTGGATCGACGATGGCAAAAAACGAGTACGAGGTATTTAAATTCTACGGTGGAAAAGTGGGGGTGAGGAGGAGGAAGATGGGGAGGGGGTTAAAAGTAAACGTAATGGAAAGAAATTTATATCCATTAAATTTAACCCTTGATTTAACCGGGAGGATGTTAATAATAGACGTTTATTATGTTAATGTAATGCAATGTAATGTATAATATATTCACTACTTAGGTATTGTCAAATTTGGAAATAAAAAAGGCACCCACTTTTTTCTCTTACTTCGTATATTTCTTTTCTATCTTTTTCTTTTCGTGGATCGAATCGAAAAAAAGAAGAAACAAGAACAAAGAAAAGAAAAAAAGAAAATGTCGATCAGTAGTGATACGATCGCGCACTTGTATTGTAGGTTGAAAAGTTAGAAACGTTCAAGTGGCTGTCTTACGCAATTTTACGAGCGTTAAAACGTTCCTAAGGTCAAATTATCAGCATGGGGGCTCGCGTGCCGTCCTACTCGACAAAACAATCAGCATCGCGTGGTTCCCGAGTCGATGAGAAAAGGCGATGGTAAAGGTTGAGGCAAAGGGAGAAGCAAAGGTGGTGGAGAGGCCTTTCTCGTTTGTCTCGCAGGGTAAAAGGTAAAAGAAATAGAAGAAATAGGGGAGGGGGGCTAGAAAAGAAAAAGAAAGAAAAGAAAAGAGGAAAGAAGAAAATAGAGAGAGAGAGAGAGAGAGAGAGAGAGAGAGAAAACTTTGATAGAATAAGAATAAAATAGGAGGAAAAATATAGAAGGAAGGGTGGAACAAAAAAAAAAAGAAAAAAAAGAAAGGAAAAGAAAAAGAGAAGGAGAAAAGTGATAAGGAGAAAAGAGGAGAAGAGGAAAGGTGAGGAGGAAGTAGGGTTTGTCGGTAAAAGAGGGTGGTTTAGAGTCGCTGCTGCGAGGGGGGTTGCACGGAAGCAACATCGGCCTCTCTACATCCATCATTGTTCCTCGGCCGAAGACTGATAGGGCGCCATTATCTTCGAACTCATTACGATCCCCTATTGATAAAGGTACGATTACGCCGCGGGGTTAATTCGCCCTGGTCTCTCGACCTCCAATTCGGAAATTGGAATTTCTGGCTCTGCCAAGGAGACGTCAGGAGGCTTGAAGGATCCACCTCTCTCTCTCTTTCTCTCTATCTCTCTCTC